ACTCCAGAGAAACAATCATCACATCTTTCATGTTCTTTGTAACTCTGTCAACTGTTTGTAATTAATGACTACATACTTTTAGCTACACTGCATGTCTGTCAAAATCAAAGCTTGTATTATAGCATTGGTCACAAGCTATTTGTACTCTGCCTTGCACAATTGTCTTTCTTTAATAAACCTTAACCAAACTCTTTCCTTTGGAAATTGTAGGGTTAGGAAGCAGCAAGAAAATGATCCATGTCAAGTAGAAGCTCATTGTATTTATTTTGAGTAATGGACAAAATACTAGACATAAAGTGAAGTAAAACTGCATTGATAAATATTTAAACACAGATGTTTAAAATTTCAATAAGAAGCGAAAACAAAGACAACTAAAAACAAGCAGACATTTATGTTAAGGCATCTAGATCTTATCTGTATTACATATCTCGCTGCCATTCAACAGATCTCACCCAAATACACCACTCCAGGAAAATGTCCCCAAACCAGAACTTCTACACTAGATATAGAAAGGCTATGCATAGTATCCCATGAACTATTATCCATAAAGATACTCATGAATCAGCAGGAATAATTTTTATAAATCTCATCCCGCTCAAAATAACTGAAAACATTAAATTTTTCAAAGGTAATAACATCAGGAAAATGTTAATTTTAATCAGAATAGTTTATGAAAAGGTAATAGACAACGAAAAAAGTAGGTATCACTATACTAATTTGGTCATATTCTGCTTCTTTCTACCGTCTTTAAAATCTCCAATAGAAATCCGTTTCTTATATTTTGGAAAAATAAAAACTCCTTTCCTTTGTCATATGGTATCTAAAATTTTTAAACATATGTTTTCTGATTTTTTAAGCCAAATTCTCTCGATTCAGAAGACCCAGGTGTTCTGAAACTTATTGTGTAGAGCAGGCTGGCCTCAATTTCACAGAGATTTGCCTCCCTCTGGAGTGCTGGCTTTAAAGGTGTGTGCCATAATATTCAGTTAAATATATTCCAATATGTCATAAATCAGTAGATATTTCTTTAGTACTATTTGAATTCCAACACTAAATAAGTGAACTGGTTCACAAAAATGAAAACAAAGTTTTTTCAGGAAATGCCCTTGGTGCATGAGATACCTAGATCAGTAGGTTTAAAAACTCAATTCAGGGCTGGAGAGATGTGTCAGGAAGTGAGAGAATAGTTGCCTCTTGTAGAGGACCTGATATCAGTTCTTCATACCTTTGTTGGCTAGTTCAGAGCTACCTGTACTTCAGCTTCAGGGGACTCAATACCCTCTTCTGGTCTATATAGGTACCTTCACTCACACCTACGTGCCCACACATAGACACACATATCTAAACACAATTAAAAATACAAATAAATTTAAAAAACTTAGATCAAAGACAGCAATAAACACATAGCATTAAGTGATGGATGAATGGTTTATCTGAAGTTAAGCATGGAGGTTGAAACAGCACTCACTCTAAAGATTCCAAAGCATTGCTTTTTGATACTGCATTGTCTTCCCAATGTACATAGCCTCGCTACAGAGCATTTTTAGAGAGAAAAAAAAATAAAATATAGACGTATAAATCGGGCTTGAATAACACCATTGTTAGAAAACAAATAGCAAAGGAAAAAGGACAAAAGGCAGAATGTGTGGGTTTGTTTTTCCAGGTTGAAATGACTACTATATCTGCCAATAGGAGCACATAACTTTTAGATTTCAAAAAATAAACTATAAAAAGATTAAAAAAAACAAAAAAGAGACGTCAGATACACAAATCATATATTACATGGTATGAATCTTGATATATTAAAAAAATAGCCACTCATTTCTATGCCACAAAGAGGGACTGGCACATTACAATTTCTTTCTGGACACATAGCTCACCATTTTCCTCAATTAGCAAGAATATCTCCCACACTCTTACTTCCTTCTAGCTCTAGCTTTGGTATCATTATTTACATTTATATTTTTGACCCTGCATTAAAAAAGTTACAGAGTTGACTTCTGTAAGTTCAAAGGTAACCAGCCTCAAATAGTGAGTTCCACACAGTCAGAGCTGTCTAATAAGGCAGAGCTGTCTAGTAAGATCAACCATCAACAACAGAAAACATAACAAAACCAAAAACCAGAAACAGCACAAATAAATGACTTAATTACATAGTTCAAGAATTTGAAGATAGAAGAACAAACCAAACATAAATCTAGTAGATTGCAAGAAATAATAAAAGAGCAGAAATTAAATAAATGGAATGAAAGTATAAGGAACCAATGAATCTATGAGCCGATTCTCTGAAAAGACAGGCAAATTTGATGGACCCTTTTCCAAATTAAGCAAAAGAAGAAAGGTTAAGATTCAAATAACTGGAATCAAAGATGAATAGGGAAGCATAATGAGCACCAAAGAAATTTATATTATAAGAGAACACTTGAAAAACACGTGGTATCCACAAGGATGATCCCGACTAAGACACCCAGCAATGGTGGAGAGGGGGCCTAAACGGGCCTTCTCCTATTGTCGGATTAGTGACTACCCTAGTTGTCATCATAGAACCCACTTCCAGTAACGATGGAAGCAGATGGAGTGACTCACAGCCAAGCATTGAGCTGAACTCGTGGAACTTATTTGAAGAGAGAGAGGAAGGATTGTATGAGCAAGAGGGGTTAAGATCATGATTGAGAAAATCACAGAGACAGCTGACCCAAGCTAGTGGGAGTTCATGGACTCTGTACTGACACCTAGGGATCCTGCAAGGACCTAACTAAGTCCTCTGAATGTGGGTGACAGTTTTATGTCTTAATCTGTTGGGGAGTGGCTGGCAATGAGACTACCTCTCATTTTGGGTTCATGAACTGGCTTTTTGGAATCCATTCCCTATTGTAGGATACCTTGCTAGAGTTGATATGGGGGTGGGGAGTAGAGGCTTGGTCCTTCCTCAACTTGGTATACCAGACGTTGTTGACTACCCAAGTGAGGCTTTACTTTCTTTGAGGAGTGGATGGTGGAGGTGGGTTGGGAAAAGTGGAAGGAGAGGGAACTGGGGCTGGTGTGTAAAATTAAAAAAAAATTAAATAGAAAAATAAAAACAGCAGAACAAAAAACCCCATATGTTTATTATGCTAGAAACTCTGGAACAACTGGGTTAATTTCTAGATTTTTCCAAGCCACCAAAGTTAAACTAAGAAGGATCAATAGATTAAGAAACTGGAAATAACCAAGGAGATAGAAATAGTAATGGCTAGACAATGTGCACACACGCCTTTAATCCCAGCACTCCAGAGGCACAGACAGATCGATAGCTCTGAGTTCCAGGCTAGCCTGGTCTATAAAGAGTGCTCCAGGACAGCCAAGGCTGCATAGAGAAACCTTGTCTCAAAAACAAGAACAAAAACTGAAACAAGCAAAACAAACAAAACCAACTAAGTAAAAAAAATAAGATAAACAATCACAAAAAACCCTTCTAATCTAAAGAAATGGCTCAACTAGGTATGGTGATGTAAGCCTCTAAATCCAGCAATATAGAAGCAGAGCATGCTCAGTGGAGCTCTCTGAGTACAAGGGCAGTCTGATCTACATAGGGAGATCTTATCTCAAAACAATATATATATATATATATATAAAATTTGTATATATATACTAATATATATTAGTATATATAACTAATATATATTAGTTTTATCAATTTTATTTATTTATTTTTATAATTAGTTAACTTTAAAATTAGTTTTAAGATATAATTAATATAATATAATAATATAATTAATATTATACAGTATAATACAATGCAATACGATGAAGCAAAACTAACACATCAGAGTCAGACAAGTTCTTATATTTTAAGTCAGGTTTAAAGAAACATACATACACTTTTATAATGTACATGCAGGAAAATATTGGACAATTAGGAGATCATATCTGCAGCTAATATGTAGCTCAGTGAACTACATGGCATGTATAAACAGAAATAAGATGAGAGGAAAGGGAAGGGAAAGGAAAGGAAATGATGAGTGAGGAAAACAGAGAGGAAGACTAGATAAAGAGCATACATTCCAAAAATTTTATCAAAATAAAAGAGAAAGAAAAAACTCATTACCATAGTAGATACTCAAGGGATTTATGAGGAAGTGGAAAATTTGGAGACATTTAAAGGTTTCTACATCTAAAAAAGTACTTAATTTCGTAAGATCTTGGCCACTTAACATTTAAAGTAGGCTTAGGTTTTAAAAACACTATTTCACTGACTAGATTGACTATGATTTAAATGTTTTTGAAACACAGTAAACACATGTCTATGAAAATTAGCACTGTCATGACACCACTTCTCTGGCTTAACCCAGAAAACCTTTAAGAGCAATTTCACAACATTGACAGAAACCATAGAAGATGATATAATATTATCACACCTAGAAAATTACCCAAATATATTTTCATAGTCATATAATTAAATACAGCCTCATCAACAATATCACATGTAGGAGTAAAGCATGTTTTTGCAAACTTAAACTACTGGTTTGGAAATACCTTTGTGCTATATTAAACAGAAAGTTTAAAAGCGTTAATACAAAGATCATATATCTACAAACTCCACATACAATTTACATAAACATAATAAAGCTACTAATGACCATATATAATATGAAGGCGTAACTCATCATGGCTGTGGAATGGGGCTAGAAGCTCAAGAATGAACGACCGTAGAATGCTTTAATCATTGTTGATGGTGATATTTCAATGTACTAAAACACCTAACTTTAAAATTTGCAAAAAGAAATTAAGGGCCAAGTACCAAAAGCCTTAAATATTTCATTCAACAACAAATATAACTATATATTTGAATATGTAGCTCAGTGCTTCTCAACCTTCCTAATGATGTGACCCTTTAATGCAGTTACTCATGCTATGGTCACCTCCCAATCATAAAATTATTTTTTGTTGCTAATTCATATCTGCAATTTGGCTACTGTTATGAATTGTGATATAAATACCTGTTTTCAATAGTCTTAGGTGACCCCTGTCAAAGGGGTCACAAGCCACAGCTTGAGAACCTGCTGATGTAGATGATTTAGAATCTAGTACAAGCAAAAGCATTCTTTGTGTATCTTCTGTTTCAAACTCTATCAAATATCCTCTGGATGAACTATACAATACACCAAGTGATCAAAAATCATCTGCTAGAGTTCAAATCTGGCCCAGGGTTTATTCACCGCAACTATTTACCATGGTACAGTTTAAGAATTAGCCCTGGGTACTATTATACCGCAAGAACAGATTCCTGGTTGCAACAATAGACTCTACAAATCTGGAGGCTTACAGAAAAAGTTTTGTAATAAATAACACAAACTGATAAATTGTATTATTTTCTCCTGTCTCATGTACTGTCACTGAGTTTGGTTAGAATCAAAGTCAATCTGAATACGAGAAACAAACGTTAACATGATTAACTGAAATTCATTAATTTAACTTTGCTATTAAAAAGGGGACTCCACTGCATGTAAATTAAATGGACCTTATTAAAAAAAAACACAGACGAGGACAAGAATCCAGTGGAAACATCATAATAATATAATAAGTAAGAAGACTTGAGTTGTGCTCCAAATTTATGAGCTTAAAAAAATCCATTAAGTATTCTGCTCTCTGCTATATTCTTTCCCACCTGGTTTCCAGAGATCCATCAGGGCTTTGATGGAAATCTCTTTTTCCAGGAAGATATCTTACTGGCTCCTATTAAACAATGTGCTGGTAAATCACACAAACTTTCATTCAAAGAAAGGGATTAGTAAACAATCTTAAAATATCTGGGGGTTGAGCAATCATGCCTCACCTCTAACTCCAGCTTTAGGGGGGCTTCTTTCATTTCTGATCTCTGTAGATACCTAACATGAACATACCCACATGAAGACATACATGCACATACACTTTAAAAACTCTTAGCAATTGTTCTTACTCTTAACAACTATTAAAAGATATTGAGAAACGCAGATAGTAATTGCCCAATGACAGCATGACTTATGGGCTAGAAGCAAACAACTAATACTTTTTTTTAAAAAAAGTACCATATATTAACTTCACTTAGGTTAAGCAGGAACAAGTGTAATAACTCAAATGTCTTTGTTACAGTGACCTAAAAGGACATGGGTGATACCAATAAAATGATGATGTCACACATTCTACAGGACAGCAACACCATGTCTCACCTCATCAGTGCAAGGCTTATATTTCTCTACATATCCATAGTTTCAATGACATTGACGCCTGCAGTTGGGGTATTGGAGAAAAGGCAAACCACAGAAACTTGTATTTCTGCCCCAGACCCAGGTCATTAATGTCAGTAAAGCAGCAGCCAGAGGACCTTCTCTAAAGAACATAGTGCGTAAGAGAATCTTCTTGGAGTCTGCCTAAAATCTGCATTTCTTGAGAGGAGGAAACTGTCTCACAAATGATAACAAAACTGGTATGCAGGTAAACTCAATGAGTCAGAAAATCTTGCTATCATCTGAAGTATCATTAAAAAGTATCTGTGCACATTAATTGTACAACCCCCACACAAAAGTTTCTTCTGTTCAAAAAGTGAAATATGAATGAGAAAATAGGTAACATACAATGAGAGAATACGAGATGTACTGAAAGCAAAAGAACTGAACATTTCTGTCAGTTACTTGCCAAAAGCAGGTCGTTTCTATGCCATTGAAGTCTCCTGTACAAGTTGTGAGACAATAAGGGACTCCAGAAGCAATCAATTTAATAACTGTACTTGGGAGATCCTGTAGATAAAACCTTTTCAGAAGGTATTTTGGGTATATTTATCAAGATGTTCACCACCTGGGAAAGCAAAGAAATGTATATATTTTAAGTAAAATGAATAACAGGTTATGTGGTTTCCAGCAGATAAAAATCATTCTCAAGAGTTTTTACGAGAACTCCATAAAAGTGACTTCTAATCCTGAAAGCAATAAAAAGTACTCCAGAAAAATGATTGTTATCAGGGCTAGAGAGATGGCTGACTTAGAAGTTAACAGCATTGACTGCTCTTCCAAAAGTCCAGAGTTCAATTCCCTGCAACCACAGATTGGCTCATAACCATCTAAAATGGGATCTGGTGACCTCTCCTGGCAAGCCTGCATACATGCAGGCAAAACCTACCTAATAAATAAACCTTAAAAATGATTATTTTCATTTCCTTCTTTTATTTCTTATTATAGTTTCTATGCTATTTAATCAATTTCTAATTTTTGGACCTAACATTTCCTATATAAGTTCTTAGCAACTAATAGTTTAAAATATGTACTATATTCACTAATATTTTGAGAAAATATTTTCTAGAATGCATAGAGGAATCCCTGGCTTTGAGAATAACAAAAACAAATACATATCTATTGTCTCTGATTGCCTAAAAGTTTCCTGTGCAACTTTAGCTGATACAAAGTGTAGTGTTTTGAATAAAAGTCACTGCCTGCTGCCATGATGGTGGTGGGTTTACCCTCTGAAACAGTAAGCCTCTTGGGAACAGCTTCTTTGAAACTCTCCTTGCTTGTGAGATTTTGTCAAAGCGACTAAATAGCAGCCTAGAAAGAAGTGGGCTCCGAAAAAAAATAAAAAAAAAAGAAGTGGACTCCGGGGGTGAGGTATTGAAGTGATAGGCCTTACTACACTGTTTTGTTTCGGAAGAATGGGTAAGAATTTGATGAAAAGTCATTGGGCGAAGAAAGCAAGGTGTACCTCCTACTTGAAGGCAATGTGGACTATGGAGGCCTATCAGAAGATTTTGTGCCAGAATAATGCTGACAACATGGCTAAGGGCCATGGTGGAATGTTTTGGCAAAAGATTTGCTATTTTTCTCTTTCTCTTATCAATCTGCTTGAGGGCTAAATTGAAAAATGGTAGATTAATTTCTTTGACAGGGCTTCTCTGTGTATCCAGGGATGTCGTGGAACTCGCTCTGTACACCAGGCTAGCCATAAATTCACAAAGATTGGCCTACCTCTGTCTCCCTGATTGCTGGGATTAAAGCTGTGCACCACCACTGCCTGGCTTAAATTTCAATTTTGCTGGCTTAAGCACAGTAATTTAAACTTAAAACATAACCCCCCCCCATGCAACACGTAGCAAAATTACATCCCATTATCTTTTTGAGACATGTTTGTACATCTTTCAGTTCTCCCGTAATCTGCTTCTCAGTTTTCCTCTATTCATCCACCACTTGTACATTCTGAAACATTGATTGTTTAGATGTTTAAAATTTAAATTTACTGAGTATACAGATATAAGATTATAATATCACCTTTTTTGTTGTTGAGATGTGGAGAAGAGGTCTCAGAGTTGCCAAGCTGGCCTCAGGCCTTCAGCCTCCCTGTGTGGAGTTGTGAGGAGTTAGGGACTACAGTTGTACAACACTATTCCTGGATTAGAAGCAAACCACATTCTATGGAAATAACAGACAAATAAAATAAACCAAAATGCATATGATGCTCATGCAAAAACTAAATCAAAATTTAGGAAATCTTATTTCTATTAAGTCTGACAATCACTGCACAATATGATCTTTTGTATGTTTAATGAAATTCAAATCGCATATATGCTATCTTCATATAATCAATTATTATAAACATTAGATTGAATATAATATTAGACAAAAGTTTATAAATAATACAACAAATGTAGAGCCATTTGTGAGGTCTTTCGAAGAAGAAAGCCTACCAAAATAAACACTCTGATTTAGATTGAAATGAAAGCAATAGGCTATAAAGTATATTAAAGCATGACATTTTTTTCAGAGAGGTTTTCTGGATGTAACCTATCCTTTTAAAATAAAAATGGAACTGAATAAGGCTCCCTGTATTTGAACTTGTAAGCATAAACCAAAATTCCTCAGCTTAAATTCTTGTTTCTTATATTGAAAACAGTAAAGCTGTAAAAAATATGCAAGCAAAATAACACATAATATGACAAGAATGTAGCCATAAAGTTGTTGACTGACATATACAACATCCAAAAGAGTACCCAAACTGTTACAATTTTATGTAGTTTTTTTTAGCATTGCTATTTTATACATATTCTGACTCTGTATCCCAGCCTAAACTGGAACTCAATATGTACTTCAGACTGTCTTTGAATTCTCAATGCTTCTTCAGCCTCAGCATCCTAAACACTGGGTTTGAAGGTGGAAGTCACCATGCCATGTGTGTTATATAGTTTAAGATGGTCTTGCATTCTTGTAAACCTCCAAATCAACTCCTGGAGTACTGGGAATATGGGAACTGGCTATGATGCCAGGCTCTAAATGATGAAAATATAAAAGGTTACCTTTAGCTAGGGATGTAGTAGTTCCGTTGGTAGAATAGTTGTAAAGCCACAGGAATCTCTAAGTTTGAGCCTCAGAACCACATGACCTGGCGCTGTAATACATGACTGCAATCCCAGAATCCTCCTAAAGTAGGGGCAGGGGAATCAAAAGTTAAATGGTTATCCTTTGCTACATAACTCATTGAAGATCAGCCTGGGACATAGAAGAATAGTCTCTAATAAGCAGTTAAGGTAAAATTGAAAATAATCTTGATTAGTTTGTCAACTTTGTAGTAATTTTGCAATTTTTAATTTTTTTATACTATTAAAACACTTTGATTCGTGAAAACTACTGTGATTTCACCATTCAGCTCTTTGTATTTTTTTCAACTTTACAAATGATTTGTAATATTAATTTGTTCTTATATGGGTCATCTTTTTATAGTGTTCTGTTTTAAATCAAGAACGATTATATATGAATTATATAAAGATTCTTTATAATGAATATATATATATATATGCATGACAGATTTGTCTATACACTGATCCCAACATTTATTTAAAATTTTCAAATTCTGTGTATGCGTGTCTGTCTTTCTATATCCTTGTGTACTTCAGTTCAATGCCCATGAATACCAGGGAAGGGTATTGGATCACCTACAACTGGAGTTATAAACAATTGGAAAATATCCAAGATAGGTGCTTAGAACTGAACTTAGATACCCTGCAATAGCAACAAGTGCTCTTATCAGCTAAGTTGCCGCTCCAGCTCCCTTTCAATTCTTTTTCTGTAATTTATTTCAATTTAACACATTTGGGTGCTTTGCTTGCAAGCTTGTGCAAGCCTAGGGCTTGGAGAGTACATAAGGTATCCTGGAACTGAAGCTACAGATGACTATGGGCTACCATGTGAGTGCTAGAAACTGCACATAGGTTCTGTGAATGAGCAACATGTGCTCTTAACTAAAAATCAATACCTCCAGCCTGACGTCACCAATTATAATTTAAACATCAACTGAAACCTATAGTTTTGTTTATTGGCTTGTATCCACAGAATACACTAAGCAGTCACGTTGTACTTGAACTCATCCTCCTTATTTAGCCTCATAAGTGCTAGAATTACAAGCATAAACATTACCCTCTCCTGATTTTTTCATTCTATAGAATTCCACCTGAATTCTCAGCCTCCCATCTACTCAGCTTGAAGTGACAGATACTAACAGTTTCTCTTAATATGATAAAACTGAGTGATCATTCAAAAGAATATGTCATGAGTCTCATAGCACCTTTGTTCCATATGATATTTCATTATTACACAACAATACCTTTACTGGCCCCATGTATCAATATTTCTTTGTGAGCCACAAAAATAGATGTATACACATATATATGTAGGCTACTGCAGACACAAGCACATGAAACATTATGTGTTTATACTACCAGGTGTATGAAACTAAGGACTGTATGCAGGGTCTCATGCCTACTAGGTAAGCTCTCTTCTACATATCTATGAGACAAGCAAACAAACAAGAACATATTTGAGCGCTAGAGAGATAGCTCAGAAATGAAAAGACTTGCTACTCTTCTGAAGGACCCAAGTTTGGTTTTTTATACCCATGTTGGAGAGCTCACACCAACTGAAGTTCCAATAGGATCCAATATAATCTTTACTCCTCAAACACCTACATACTTGTGGCATTGATAGACGAACAGACATCCAAATAAATTAAAATGATAAAAACAAATCTTAAGACTATTTTGATTCCTTTAAACCTAAGCTCTGTGAAGAAACGAAACTGTATAAATAAATCTCAAAAATAAGTTTTTAGAGAGTCTCTCTGCCTCTCTTAAAGCTGATCAAGGAACATAAGGCAAATGAGAAATTGCAAGACCCATATATACTTTCAAGCTAATCTCAATCACTTCATTTAAGTTTTCTAGACACCATACCTTCATTTTTCATTCTCAAGCAGTCTAACATTATACTATAACACAGCTCACATATTTAATTGTTTACATACTTACATTAAAATATGTATACAAAATATTTCTTCACTCATACATCCACTCCTTTAATTTCATTTAAAATGTGTTCCCAAATGCAAACATCTACATATGTAGCCTAAAGTTGTTTATCAACTATTTCTGATTCCTTTGATTTTTCCTTAGCTATCTCTTACCTGTACATTCATTCCTATACCTTTTTCTATAAATTTTGAAAGTGATTTTATAATAAAACTATCCACTGGAAAATATAAGCAATACTTCACGACATAAGTAAACTATTCACAGGAAAATATAAACAATACTTCAAGACTGAGGCATACATAATACATAAAGACTTTTTAAATCCAGCAGCTTAGGAACTAATTTCAAAATGTCAAATGGGTTTGCATAAAAATAAATTCTGGCACAACACAGAAAAACAACCATCGAAGAGGAAGTTTATTAAACAGCAGACAAATATCTAGAAATCCATGAACTTCTAAAGTTAAGATACCAACTAACCAAAAATCATTCAATCAGATCGACATAAAGAGCAATGCCAAGGAGTCTGAGAGACCTGAGGAAGCTCAGAGGGGAGAAGTGGCAGGACTGGGAGCAGAGGAGTCTGCAGAGCCCACAGTATCTCCAGAACACCTTAAGAAAAGGTATATCTAGTTGATTTTAGTTTGAAGTCGATTTTGAGCCCCCAAGGTCCAAATGAAGAGCAGAAGGAAGGAGAACATGAAAAAGGAAGTCAGGACCGTTCACCCACTGATACAAGGGGACTGATCTAATGAGAGCTCACCAAGGCCAGCTGGACTGGGACTGAACAAGCAAGTGATCAAACCGGATTCTCTGAATGTGGCTGACATGGGGGCTGACTGAGAAGCCATTGACAATGGCTCTGGGTCTTGTTTCCTCTGCATGTACTGGCTTTTTGGGATCCTGGTCTGTTTGAATGCTCACCTTCCTGGACCTGGAGGGAGGGAGGAGGAACTTGGATTTCCCACAGGGCAGGAAACCCTGACTGCTCTTGGGAATGGTAAAGGAGGAGGAGAGGGGGTGGGGGGAGCAGGAGGGTATTGGGAGGAGGGGAGAAAGTGGAAATTCTTTAAATAAATAAATAAGGAAAAAAAGATTACCTTTCGAGATAAAAAAAAAAACTCTAGGTCCACTTGGGCCTATCTAAAAAATAAAAAAAAAATTTAAAAAAAAAGAAAAGGTATATCTAGTGGAAAGATACTTTAAAAAGAGGACTCACAAAATTGGAAGAAAAGGTGGTGGAGCAGAGCCATGTGAGAGAATAGCAAAATGACAAACATGCATCTAAGGGTGTGGTAGCAATATAGGAGCTTGGTTGCAGCAAACAAAGAACATGGCGTTACTGAAAGGGTCAATCTTTGGCCTGTGGGTAAACTGCAGCATGGAGCCCATGCAGCTCACTCTACAGTGAGAAGGGGATGCCTAGAGGCTGCAAGTACAAAGGTCAATCTGGTGAGCCTTGAGAGAGCTTCCAAAAAGGGCAGGTATATGTGTGGGACCTGGAATTCTTGATGATACTGCCCCTGAATGCCCTGCCTAGATGCAAGATTACCCTGTCTCTGAAAAAATAGGAGGATATCCAAGAACCCTGTAGGTGATGATCCAGTATTTATGGTGCTTCAGAAACCAGACCCCGGGAGTGGTAGGGTGTTGGGAGGAGGGGCGGAAAATGAAACTTTTATAAATTAATAAACTTTTATAAATAAAAAAAAAGAAACCGGAAACCTTGAACCAGAGCAATGATTTTTTTTTTTGCAATGAGTATTTGCATGTAAAGCTGTTTGGGCAAAAAATTCATTGCGTAACACACTGAGTTTGCAATGCCACGTGAACAAACATATATGTGATGGAGAAGTAGGAATGACAGAGGCATGAAATGGACCATGCATGGTGAAAAGAGGTAGCCCCTAGAGATTCAGTGGTGGTGAAAATTATGGGTGAAAGTGTTCATGGAGAGGGGAGTATATCATTGTATAGTAGGTCTGGCACAGTGGTATGCAGCCTGAATCTCTGCCAAGGATGTGCTGGTACCACAATACCAGCCAATATGTGCCAATATTGTTGCCTGAGGCCATGTTGACGCCCATGGCAACATCAGTGATCTGTGATGCCACTGGAAGCAATGTTGGTATCCCTGTCCCATGTTGCAACAGAAGGCAATGTTGATGTACATGGCCTGTGCCATGTACATCTGACAGGGCCATGATGCTGCCTATGATCCACATAGCTGCATGAGGCTATGCTGATGTTCATATTTGGTTTTATCACCATAGGACAAATAGAAGTCCTTGGACTGAGCTAATGGCTGAGGCTATGTTGATATCCATGGTAAATGTGGTAAATACAGTCACTCCAAACCGTGTTTATGTTCACAAACTGAGCTGCCATCAGAGTCCATACTGATGTCCACAGCCCATGTTTATAGTTTATGCTGTCACCTGAAGCCATATTGATTTCCATGGTCTGGGGTACCACTGGAGACCATGTGGAAGAATGGGATCAGTTCTGCTGCCTGAGAGTATGTGGCTATCCACGGCCTGTGCTGTTGTTGCCATGGCCTATGTTTGTGGCTCATGTTTCTACCAGAGACTATGTTGGTTCTGCCACTTAGGGTCGTAATAATGTTCCTAGTCTGTGCTGTCTGCACAAACCATGTACAAGTCCATGATACATCCTGCCACGTGCAGTGGGAACAATGACGGTAGACCCACATTTAAAAGTGAGAGCTATAGAAAGCTTTTATGACTCCCCTTTGTTACCCCCAAGAGAAAGAGTCTAGACAGGAAACTATTGAAGAGACTTCTGGCTGGAGAAAGAAGTGTTTACGTAAGGGGGATGGCCACTGGAACATGCTCCAGTGAGTTTATGAGCAATATTGGACTTTCTTTCCTTTTTAGGGGGAGGTCACAGGATTTCAGGTGGACCTGGGAGGACTGGAGATTGGGTGTCATTGAGGTGTATGATGTGAAATTTCAGAATAATAATAATATTATGTTGGGAAATCACCCAATAAAAAATGGCCCATACTACTTCAGAATATATTGAAAACCAATCTAGATGTTGAACAGATAAATGAATAGAAATGTCACAATATGCAGATTGGAATTGTAGCTTGCTGTAATGTAATATGAAATGACATTCTTAGAAATATAGATGCAGCTGAAGGTCATAATACTTGTCAAAATAAGACTTAGTAAGATATAGATTACAAATACAGAATATAGCTTTCCTCATGTGTACAGGAGGAAATGTGTACAGGGATGGGAGACTAGTGATCAATGAAACAGACACATGTAAATAGAACTGACATCTTTTAGTAGAAAGGACGCCAGAAAGAGAGTAATGAGAAATTCTCACAGTATAACCCATTACACATCATACTACCCTCCAAAATAACCCTCCTGGGTGCAAATCATAAATCCTGAGACAGTATTTGATTCGTGGGGAGTGAAGATAAGAAAATGAGCTTCAGGTGGAGATACATAAGGGAAAACCTTAAAGAAAGCCTCGATTGTATTGATGAAAGAAGTGTCAACACAGAAAACACAGTAAAAAAATAAACTTAGAATAAGAAAACCGACTTTAAGCTCGGCGGCTAGGAGGGCCTAACCCTCTGCTATAGTGCCAGAGGACATGGGTTCGAGTTCCTTTGGCGCTGCTAGTGATCAATTGATCGATCAGCAATCAATAAGGAATCAATCGCTTTTGATTAATGATCAGAAAAAATTAAAGACTGTAAATAAGACCTTTCAAACAAATAGTTTATCCTAAAATATGAACACTCTCATGATGCAATAAATAAAAGAGCCTAAGGGAAAATAACTGCCTAGTAACCTGATCTACATACTGCACACTGCTCTGCATCTCAAAGTAAAAATTACCTTTTGAAAATAAGAATGTAATACTGATTAAATACATGTAATCTCGATACTCAGGAGCTCATAAAGGAGAACAGTGTTTGAAGATAAGCAATTTGAAAACAGCAAAAGAACAAAACATAGCTGGCCATTTATTTTTCAAACCTGAAAGTAATATCTTCTAATACAATACAAACTTCTTTTGTACTTTTTCTTAAAAAGTACAGTGAATGAATAAAAGATAAAAATGGATGACTATACCTATAGAACATTTTGGACACACAGTATCAATCCAACTTCTCTAACAGAGACAGAAAGATACTGGTATCCATGCCACTAATGATCAGCATTCTTTTCTCAAAACCAATTATTAAATATTTATATATAGTGCGACGTCAGTATTTGTTGTTGTTAGTATGTATTAATTGTGCACCTTGGGTTTCATGAATTTTCATGAATACAGTATGACCAATGGTTGCTGGGGAAGGAAAATCTAACATGATGCATTGGATAGCCAAAATTGACAGAAAAATTAATAGCAAAGGAAACATGTATATTAAGTTCTGCCAACCCCAAGCTCACTGGGCAAACACTGTAGAAGAAAAAATATATGATGTAGATCTTACATTTACATAAGCTACAGAATAGGTGTGAAATACTGTATTCTGAACAGGACATGGCCACTGACCTCATGAAAACAAGCAGTTATGGATACTTCCCAAAGATCAAGATCAAAACAGTCAACATTGAGTGTCTGGGTCCTGGCTGGAGGGCCCTGCTCTCTAGGCTTTAACCCCCCTGTACCCCATCCCCAACTACCAAAACCCCAGAGACACGGAAGACAGTCAAAGATAACTTCAGGTATTGCCTCAGGTTTTTACAGAGGTTTGGTTTCACCTTAAATGTTCTTACATGTCTTCCATTTTTTGTGTGTTTTAAAGAAAGCTATTACACGTGCACATGGAAACAGAAATTGATGTTAAACAGAGAGCTAACAGATGGGAGAAATAATCACCATAAAATATTACTTAAAAACAAGCCTATCAAAAATATGGCACAGAACTGAGACCCTAGGAAATCAGTGTGAAATCTCTCTGCAAAAAGTGAGAGGTACAGAGCTTCCATGGAAACAAACTTTGACAGTCCTGGGAATAGACTGAAGGTTCGATGGACTACAGCATAAGTTGTGAAAGGATGTAAAAATAAATTCCATATACCATAAAACATATTGGTAGATGTTGCTAGACATTATATGAATGCATTGGTATGAAAACATTTAGTTACCGATAGAAGACATACCTTGAAGTAGTATAAGAAGACTCAACTTAATCTAGTCTCTCCTACTTAATCTATTAAATGTGGTGCAAATGAAATTAAAACTGCATCTTTTCCAGCTTGACAACTAATTAGGAACATTAATTAGGCTACATACAGGAAATATTCTGAAAAAGAGAAAGGAGGCAGAACTCAACAGAATAGTTAAGACAGTATAAATCACCAGTAATAACAAGTTAATAGAAGAAGCAAATAGGCATGCAGCAAATTATGTTTTCTATATGCTTGATTTGTAAGACTAATGGTATAAATCAAAGTGAATAATTATTATTTTTGTGTAACACATTAGTATGGGGCAAAACAAATGGAAAATATCTGATGAGAAATTATGGATGACACAGACGAAAATGATGTGAACAAAAACATGCTTTCAAAAGAAAAAATGACTCCAATGACACATGAGAAAACATGATTGTATTTGAGAACATGATTGCATTTTAATAAATAATTTATGTACAAACTAGCATCAAAACAAAGAAAATACAAAACACACAGTATTTAATTTGACATACATAATACAGACTCACTTACATGAGGTTATAAGAAAGACATTATTGAAACTAAAATGAAACAGCATGATGATTTAAAAATATTTAATATTTAATAAATAGTACTTAATATTATAAGTACTATTTATGTTACGACAAATACATGTACCACTGTTAAGTAAAATATTCATAATTTTAGTAAATTATCAAATACACTTACTCAAATTTAGATTTTATATACTTTGCCATGGTACATCAAGAAGAATTATTTGGAAATAGCTATTTTCATAAGGAACAGTGCTACGTAGAATTTACAGCTACTCAGATGAGAGATGCATTGATGAGTAAAAGAATGCTCCCCAAAGTAACATAACTCACAGTATGTAAAAATCTTGATGAATTTTAAAGGTAATAAAAAGGTTCATAAATGGCCATCAAATGAAGAATGGATAAGAAAAATGTGGTACATTTACACAATGGAGTACTAAACAGCAGAAAAAATGACATCTTGAAATATGAAGGGAAATGGATGGAGCTAGAAAACATCATTTTGAGTGAGGTAACCCAGACCCAGAAAGACAATTATTACATGTCTCATAAGTGACATTTAAACATCACATTAAGCAATGCAAACCAGCCTACAAATCACAATCCCAAGAAAGACATACATGGATCTAATCTACATGAGAAGTAGAAAAAGACAAAATATCCAGAGTAAAATGGAACATGGGAACCATGGGAGAGGGAGGGGAACAGAGAAAAATGTAGAGCACAATAAAAATCAATAAAATAACTAAAAATGCTTTATATAATACTGTTTAGCTCAGTACAAGTCAGGCTATGCTATGTAGTCAAACCATTTGAAAAAGCGCAACAAGGTAAAAGTTCTTTATAAATTTATAATCAGTTGAAATGAACTTTAAAGTCAGCTTCAAAATTACCCTGCAGTCATTATGAGAAGCGCTGAGAGAACACTGAAGTCAGTGTCATCACGCTTTTCTTGACTTAGTCCAACAGAAACAGTAAAAGTCTTTAAATATATATAAAATAGTCTTCAAAGACATTTTCCAGTCTCCATCCAAATAGCGAGTTCAATTATTGGTTCATTCACGCCACACCTTCTAGACCTTTGGTGACTATCTGAAAGCACAAAGGAAGAAATTCAGAACCATTAGTATTATTATCAAGGTAAAGCATTTTTATGTTTATATAAAAGCATTTCTTTTTCATTAGGCTCATGAGTATTAGTCAATTTTTTTGAGGAGAGTGAGTATTTTAATCAACAAAAAATCTACGCATATTATCATATTTAGCTAAATTGAGTATTATTTTTTAATTTTTATTTTTTATTATTAAAAATTTCTGCCTCCTCCCTACCTCCCATTTCTCTCCCCCTCCCCCCACTCACTTCCCCCTCCCTCTCCAGTCCCAAAAGCAGTCAGGATTCCCAGCCCTGTGGGAAGTCTAATCTAATGGGAGCTCACCAAGGCCAGCTGGACTGGGACTAAAAAAGCATGGGATCAAACCGGACTCGGACTCTCTGAACATGACGGACAATGAGGGCTGACTGAGAAGCCAAAGACAATGGCACTGGGTTTAGATCCTACTGCATGTACTGGCTTTGTGGGAGCCTAGTCTCGTTGCGCACCTTCCTGGACCTAGACGGAGAGGGGAGGACATTCAAAATATTTTTAATAACACGGATAAGCACATTAGTATTGATTTTAAAAGTTTTTATTGTGAATATTCATTAAACTTGCTACTTTGTTAATCACAAACATTTTCAAATAATCACACACTGATTGGAAATTGAACCAATATCCCCATTCACTCTACGTATCCTGCTCACTCTGGTTTCTGACTATACATAAAATGTGATAACCAGCATGATGCTCTTGCTGCCATGTTCACTTAACAATGAGACCAAAGAAATATTGGATCATATATTTGAGATTTTAAGTATGGGTGTTTTTGATATACATATATGATGGTTCTATATTACTAAGCATGGGTTCAGAGAACTAAGCTCTGGGCCTTTATAAGAGCAGAATCCACATTTAACTGATAAACCATTTATCAGTTCTTCTCAACTCACAACTCTAATGAAATAGGTAAATCCACACCCATCTATACATGCATAAAATCACAATTTTATTAAATAATTATTTAATAGAACTGTATCAGGAAGACTGGTGATGTGGTCAAATTACATAAGTCACTGGGAAAATGATTTTTTTAAATAAGAAAATTCAAGTGTGTAGAAACAATAAGGTTGAAAAGAATATTACTTTGCTGCACTTAAATTAATAAAATTAAAGTCCTTTTTTTACCTCTAGGTTGCAGATAACACTTTAGGGAAGCAATTTTTCTTCGACTCCAAAAGTTGATCAAACGTAGATTTAAGAAATCTGTCGTGCGGACATCCTAAAAAATAAAGTAGGCAATACAAAACATGTTAAGAAACAAGTATAAGGAACATTATTCTGGTGTTTTGGGGGAGGAGTCTGGTATTATTAGCAAATATTTGTATTCAGTTCCAATTTGTTATGTGCGTGGGAGACTTCAGGTGCATCAGAGGCCCTCAATGTTGGGTAATATCTGTGCTACAACTATAACTCAAATCCCCTGGAAATGTAATTTATGTTCTTCACATGACTCCAGTATCTTATTTTTAATTTATGTACCACTATTTAAAAGCCTCTACACATTCCTAAATGCATACTTGAGATTCCTGAAGTCAATCAAATGCATGAAATGAAGGAATAATCTAGTCTTTCCTTATATAATAATTGGAATGGCTGGAAAGTTAAGTTTATTGGCCTCAGCTTTTACTTTAGTACGCTTATTACCCTGGACAATGTGCCATGCCAAAAGCTCTATCTATATTATACCATCCTATATCCATGAGAAATAATGTCATTATCAATGTTTACTCTTTAAAATGTTTTTTGCTCAGTTTCACTCATTGGTTCATCACTTCAAATACAATCAGTTTAATACTCACGTGGCTAATGCAATACTCTTTGCTGTCACATGAGATCCTCGAGTGTCTAGAATTCTTCACAAAAACATTCAAAAACAGAACTTTGGGAGAAGGCAACTCAGCATTCCCTGGATGTCGACAATCAAAGCTACTGGGAAAAGAAAAGTCTATTTCTTGTTGTTAAGCATTTTCTGCAATGGCCTTAAAACACACGAGGACAGATAGAAATTGTCTTACTCCTTACTCTTTAGAGGTAGTAAAAATTTAACATTCCCAGAACATGTTTTCTGTTTCCCTAATTTTTTCACTTATTAGAGGTGCTTTCATTGGGCAATCTCAAAGGAGATATACATTGTCTATCGTAAATGAATTGAACAAATCAATTACTACCATATTATTATTAGTAGTATTCTTAAGTATATACCTTAGTTCGAAGAACTAAAATGTATCTATGCAATTTGTTCTTTTCTTCAATTACAATACCACAAACCCCACTTCTATTGAAGAACAGCATTTCAAATGTTATATTATAATAAATGATCTTAAGCTACAGACCTTTTGTTATATTCAACAAATAATAAAAATAAATTTGAGAAGCAAATGATAAAGTACATATTCTTATCCTTTTGTTCCTATAAGGAGGGATTCAGTTCTTCTGCTTCCATGCTTTCTGCTGACAGTGTCTTGATAGGCCAGGATGTCTCAAATTGGTGCGTAGCTGGGCAAGGTCTTTCTTGGAAGGTGCTAGTTTGTGTTCCGTATGCAGCCAAACTCTACTTCTTAAATAATATTGCTTTATATATCATACAGCCTACTTTTTCTTAAAGTACTTCAGAGGACACATTAAATATCCAACTTTAATAATCTCAGATGAAAAATATATAAATATTAAACAATTTTTAAACTTTTATGTATTGAAACCATCTCAGAAAGCAAAAATTTTATAAATTTACAAAGTTATAGGCTCTTTATTACCAAAAAAATGTATCCAGTAATAGCACTGAGATTGCAGACTCATCTGAACTAGAAATAAAATAGTTATTTTATAATTTGTAAAATCAAATATTACACATTGCTAATAATGTATGTGAAAAAATATAATTACATATGAAAAACAAATGTGCCTTCCTTAGAGTCAAGAAACAATGCTTTTATCAACTCTCAAACTAATTCAAAATTTGAGTTACTTGTTCACTATACATCTTTCTTCATGAAAATAAAACTGTCTAACTTTTATGTAATTTTTCTCCAGGCAAAAATTAAATAGCTTACTCAGAATTTTATTTATTTATTGAGTAATATTTCTTTTTGCCTTGAAAAGGCATCTTATTTTATTTACTGAGTAGTATTTATATTTTCCTTGAAAAAAGCATTTGCTACAATGCTTTATTAATGTTAGATTACAATGTAATATTTACAGGTTTATACTTTTTTATGAATATGCATCTGAAAATGAATTTTTCAAATGGAAAGATGTATCAGTTATTTACAAATTGTCTTGAAAGCTGTCATGCAATGTGAATATAATAATGTATTAATTCAAAGAGGTAGAAGAAACTAGTCTATTACTATTACTAGTCTATCATTACTAGAGGAACAGAATGAAGATTTATGCCCTTACATGTACAATAAGCCTTACTTATCCTATGGGATATGATGACTTATCTTGAGTTAAGTAGCCAAAGTTAAATTAAATCTTATTACTCTACCATCAATAAGTAATAAACATAAAACGAAGGTTTCCAATGATGTACTCACAAAATTATATCCTGTAGCACTCTCTCCATCTAGACAGACAAGACTTCAAATGCTGTATTTCACTATTATTTACAAAGTTGTCTTGAATATTGTCATGCAACCAGGAAACACATACAAAACTTTGCAGTGTCCTAAGAGGTAGTACAAAATGTTCATGAAATTTGACAAAAAGTAGAAAGGTCAACCAGGCTACACGGAGGATGGAGTAGAAAAATGCAGTGTTTAACTTTCTCCTCGGCATTCAGACAAATATGAAACACTGAGCTCCGTGATCATATAAAATATAAAAGACTGATATTTACATCATATTTACACCTCTAAAAATACAAGCTGTTTGATAAAAATAGCTCATTATTTACAAAGTTACATTTTGCCAGGTATCAGATGGATATATATACCTATGTAATTCTGAGGTATCTTTTGGAAAAATATGCACAAATATCTGTGGCCAGAAAAATACATACAGCATACATAATTTTCAAAAAACAGTGCCACCTTAACTCTTATACTTGAGTTATACTCATAACTTAGTATCTGAAAAGACAGCATGGTAGACTATACACTCAATATATTTATAAAAATATATTGTATTTTACATTTCTATAAGTTATATGTAAACACACATTAAAAGTATCCCTTTGTTAACAATGTTTAGGTAATTCAACATCACTCAAATGAATACCACATCACTAAATGAACCCTATGAGTATTTAGCAAAATAATTTCTCTTTTCCTACAAACCATATACATTTTAAAATCTTGACTATTATAGGTCAACTGTTTTAAACACAATTTTTTTCTTAATACATGTGTTAACAACTATTTCTGAAATTTTTAACATAAATTCACTAAATACATGACACATTATAGTACTTTTTAAACACTAAAAAGAATTTAAATTTTAAGAGTATTACACATTCAGAAAATGGAATAAAAATTATATACATAGGCGGATGTATCTGAACATACATAAAAGTATCTCTATATATACACAATGTTTCTATATATACACAAATAAACCTAATATAAATTAAGTACAAAATAGTATGATACTATTAAGACTCAGATATTAATAACACCATGCGCATATGGCAGTTGATGGTGTTTCTACAAATGTAAGAATTTCAGACACTCTACACAGTTAGACTATTATTTCAGCAGTAGTTAAATACCGTGACATCAGAATTTTTTTTTAAAATGAATAAAACAAATTGAGAATTTGACGGGATGGGTTAGAAAGTCTGCACTATACTATGCGAAGTCTCAAACATGTAAACAGTGAGATGGTGATCAAATCTTATGTAGCTCACTGATTTAATATGTAAAAATATGACTGATGAATGTGTGTTTGATAACTATAACTGTCTGATACAGCAATTCCAATTAAAAACAATGTTGGCCCGTAACATTTCTCAGTTCACAATGAATAAACGGAAAAACATTGCTGTTATCTTACCACTTACGAAACCATATAATAATCGCAGGTGAAACCAAAAGTTGTGATCTTGCATTTAAGTGACTATTGTTTTAATCAAGTACAGTTACTCATGAGTTAATGTATATAAAACAGTATTCACATACATGTAAATACATGGGACAAACACTATTACATTAAGAACATCAGAAATTTTACATTTCATTTATTTCATGTAATAAAACCCCTATAAATGTTAATAAAGAAGTGATACAAATGTCTAAGAAAAATAATTTTATATATACAAATGACTTATGGTTTTAAATGATAATGGTTATTTAGAATATGCACATATTTTATACAAAACACATCTGAAAAGAGTAAACAGAAATTTTCCATTACATATCTACCTTGCTAGATCTTTTAGATACACAATGGCATAATAGACCATCATGTGTGTTGGGTAGTAGTCTCTACACTATATAACCACACCTCTTTAAACACAGCATAAAGCCATGTTTTATGTTCATAGACAACTTTCCTACCATAAAGTTAAAAACCTTCAGATTCATTCACAAATTACTTCTTATTTGGGTAAAGCCATGACATAGATCATCACTTAAATTGTACCCTCTTATTATATCCTTACTATGGCCCTAAATGAGTCCAGAAATCCAAGTCATTCTAGTAGTTTAATTGTCTTCAAATGCAAAATATCATCATTATTCTTCATAAAGTTAAAATAACATGGTGCATTATTCTATTATGTGTAGATGTGTACTGTCAATCCTAGATGTTATAACAGGGCAATGTCCATCTTGTTACTAAAATTAGGCTAAGCCTCTCTGACCCATAAACATAAACATGACTACTATATATAAAGCATCCTTACTTGGTTAGTAATGTTACCAAGTGAGTGTTCACTGAAAGAACAGCTAAAAGAATCCAATAAAATGAGACCTTAAACTAGAAAGTCTATTTTTACATCTAAAACTATTAAAATATATATGTGATTTGTGATCTTAGGATCAAGATGGCATGAAATAATCATACTTGAATAACTCCATATGTAATTTCCCAATCTATAATTGTTGCACTTCTCATAATCCCTTGTTTCACACTATCCTTAGCCACTACAACATAATCATAAAATTCACTTGTTTCCATTATTTTTATGAAATGATTTTACCAAGTAACAGAAATTTTACCTTGTATTAAGTTCTTTTATCACAGCAATCATTTGAAAAACCTTTACACATACCCTATTCTTAATATTTTACTAAATAAACAAAAAAATAAAGTACAATAACATTATTTTTCTGGTTTGACACCGAACCATGTAAGATAATACGTTATCAATCAAAAATCAATGTTAACTAATCAATCTCTGTTAACTAAATTATCCAATAAGTTAGTATATATTTATTGTATCAGTTATATTTTACAGTTGTAAAATATCTACTTGTTGTACCTTCAAGCAGATATGCAAAGATTCAGAAGTAAATCTAACAAAGGCATGAGAATTTTCCACAGTAAGAAAATACTACAGCAGTAACTATTATACAAAAAGAAAGCTCATGAGGAACAAAAACACCTGGTATGGATGTAATCTTCCAGACTCTGCCAAATCAAGTGTTTGAAAATATGAATAAGTTATCTTACTGCCCCAAAACAAAACTAACTGATGTTTTACCCATACTCAATATCAGGAATCAGAGTTAATTTAAACCCTTTGTTTATCAAATTAACACTCTATTGAAATGCACTGTGAGGATAAATATACAATACCTTCTCTGGATTCACCCTCAGCATTCTCTAAATATCTCATTAAAAAATATCAATGAGTATCTTACTAGCAATATCTCAATATAGTGAATTGAAAATTGAGAATGACTAAGAACATGCTCCAGAAATTATTATAGAGGGTAAGAACTTGATGACTGGAAGAAAGACATTAGCTTCCATTATTTTTCTCAGGTTTCTACATACAGAAGGAAAGCAGAGTGAAAGCAGGATGGGAATATGGAGGCACTTTACAACAGGGAATGAAATAGGTAAAAAACCAAGTTTGTAAGAGTGAAAAGATCTACAGCTCCAGTCTCCTTGGGAATAAATTAACTTTGTTACCTAAGTCATTAAACTGACACTTTGGCTAGATTTCAGAGTAATCATCACTTTGAGCCTCATTTCATCATGCTCAGTAAACACAGCTCATCATAAATCCAGCCAAGGTCCTTGACAAGGTATGTTCTAAAAACTAGGTAACAATTTTAATGTTAGGTATGTGGTTGTGGGCACTTGGTAATGGTGTGGTAGGAAAGACAGTGAGGGTCCTGATTTAGAAAGACACTCAAAGTTTAGAGTTATGGTTCAGTGACAATAATTCCTTCACATAAACAAGATTCTGGGCTAAATTACCAGCAATGAAAAAAATGTTAAGTGTCTAGGCTAAGAGTATGGTTAGTTCCCTAGTTAGATGCAGTAGGTCCTGTGTCTATCAGAGTATCTGCATCAGTCTCAATAATTAAATGAATCTGCTAGATAGGAGTAATGCAATAATGCATGACTGTAGTCCCACACTTGGGAGGCAGAGGCAGGAATACTGAGTTTTACAGAGTTATTTTACAAGACCAAAGATGAATGAACAACAAAACAAAACAAAATCACAAAATTAAAAATTAAAATTATGGACAGTATACAATTAATTGTACACTGTATACAATTAATTGTATAATGGAATTGTATACAAGTATACAAGTAATTGTATAATGACAGGATACAAGGCCCTAGCGTTCAATCCACAGCATCAAAATATAATTAAATAAATATGTAAATAAACAGTAAATGCAGAGACAAAAACTGATCATAACAGTTTCAGAATAAGAGTGAGATCCAGGGTTTCATAGAACTAAATATAGTAAATAACCATTCCACATAAAACATAACTATCCAATATATAAAGATCTTAAATCACTAATTCAATAAATAAATGAAGACAATAAATATATTAGAAAAACAATAAGAACCTAATAATAAATGATATAGGTATATATATATAGATAATTAACCAGATAAATAGTGAATGAGTAAATGAAATAATCATGTAGATGAAGACAATAAATAAAGTAGTGCATAAATAAGCAAATAAATCATTACATCTACCATGAAGACAATAAATAACTAAACAACCAAATAAATGAGCAGGCTGGTAAAAATGAAAATAAATAAGCCAGCAGGTAAATAATGTAAATCAATACCCTGATATGTAAAAAGGCAATGAACAGATCAAGAGGCCAATATATAAATTGTGCAATAAATAAGTCAATAAGTATGTATAAATACCACCACCAATAATGAAGAAAGGGAATAATCAGATCAAGAGACTAGCAAGCAACCAAGCAAATAAATAACTAAAATAAATAGCAAGCAAATAAATAATTAGGCCAATCAGCAAATAAAAAGTCCATCAATCCACTGATTGATCAAAACAGCAATAAATAAAAAACCAATGTGTGCAATAAATACTGTGTAAATAAAATCATTAAATAGATCAACTATATAAAAAATAAATGAGTGCATAAATACATAAATAGATGGATAACATCAACTCAATAAATAAACTCAATCATTTGATATTTTTAAAAGGCAATACAAAACAATAAATAAATACATTAGATGCTAAGTAAATGAATTAATTAAAAAGATCAAATATACAAGGAATAAGCTAATTGTCCATCAATCAACCAAGAGGTAAAAATGGCAATACAATGATTAAGACAGCAATAATAAATAAATAAATAATCAAATACTGCAATAAATGTTAATGGGTAAGTATATCAGCCATTAAACAGATAAAATATGCAATAAATAAATTATTGGACAAGTACATAGATATGTACACAAGATAATAAAGCCAATCAATCTGAAAATATGTATAAAGGTAATAAATAGACAACAACAAAAAATTCCTAAATAAATAAATAAATAAATAGATCAAATATACAAAAAAGTAAACAATGTCAATCAATCCACCACTAATAAGGAAGGCAATGCACAGATCAAGACACCAATAAAAATAAATATATAAATAGTATATACAACAAGTCAGTGGGTATGCAAATTAATAAATAAATAGATAAACGTCAATCAATCCACCACTAATAAGGAAGGCAATGCACAGATCAAGACAGAAATAAAATAAATAAATAGTATATACAATGAATAAATAGATGCAATGTACAAATAAGATAGTGGGTAAATCCATAAATAAATGTCAGGATAGGTAAAAATGGCAATAAATAAACCATGACTACAATAAATAACTAAATAACTAAATAGATAAATAAATAGTTAGTAGGTAAGTACATAAATGAATAGGTTAGTGGGTCAGTAAATAAATGACAGCAAGTCAATAAACTAAGTCAGTCAATCTACTAACACATAAGTAATGAACAGATTAAGATGCAAATAAATAAATTGAATATGCAAAAATAAATAAGTTAGTGGATATGTAAGCAAAATCATTAAATAGACCAAATGTATGAGTGGGTAAGTAAATAAATATAATAGCAACTCTATAAAGAATGTCAATCAATCCACTGATTGATAAGAAAAGCAATGAACAGATCAAGATAGCAATAAATAAATGAATAGAATATGCAATAAATAAGTTGGAAATCATATGTACAATAAGTTAGTAAGTCCATAAATAAATATGTCATCAAGTCCATAATGTTAAACAATCACCCCAATAGGTAATCTGAGCAATAAATAACCATTCAAGATCACAATAATAAATAAATAAGTAAATAAATAAATAAATAAATAAGATAGTGTGTTAGTAAATTAATAAATCATTAAATAGATCAACTTACAATAAATAAGTTAGTGCATAAGTAAATAAGTCAGCAAGTAAATAAATATCAATCTGACAGATAAGAAAAGCAATGAGCAAAAAAAATAAATAGAATATGCAGTAAATAAGTTAGTAGACAAGTAAGCAAATTAAATAGATCATATACAATAAATAAATTAATGAGTGTGTCCATAAATGTCAGAAGTCTATACTTGAACTATTCCTCCCAATAGATAAAAAAGCCAATAAATAAACCATTCAAGACCAAAACAAATGAATAAATATTCAATAAATAAATAAATAAGTTATTGGTTAAGTAAAATAATAAATCGTTAAAGAGATCAATTGTACAATAAATAAGTTAGTGGGTAAGTAAGTAAATAATAAAAATGACAGCATGTTAATAAATAATACCAAACCCCGAGAGATAAGAAAAGTAATGAGCAGATCAAGGCATAGATACATAGATAGATATAGATAGATAGATAGATAGATAGATAGATAGATAGATAGATAGATAGAATGTGCAGTAAATAAATAAGTTAGTCAGCAAATAAGAAAAATGATTAAATAGATAATTAAGTAAGTACAATAAATAAGTTAGTGAGTAAGCACATACATAAATAAATAAATAAGTCAGTGGGTAAGTAAGTAAACAAATGAATAAATAAAAATGACAGAAACTCAATAACATTAATCAATCCTCTAATAAGAAAGGCAATGAACAAATCAGGATACCAATAAATAAATTCACTGTACAATAAATAAGTTAGTGAGTAAAGTAAGCAAAATAAATAAATCAAATGCGCAATAAAAAAATATGTCAGTAAGCCCATAGTTAAACCATATCGTATATGTAAAAAAGTCAATAAATAAACCAATCGAGACCACAATAAATAAATAAATGAATAAATATGCAATAAATAAGTTAGTGGGTGAGTAAATTAATAAATCATTAAATAGATCAAATGAATAAATAAGTTAATTGGTAAGTAAGTAAATAATATGCTGAATAAATAATGTCAATCCATCCACTGATGAGTAAATTAATCAATCATTAAATAGATCAAATGTAAAATAAATAAATAAGTTAGTGGGTAAGTACATAAATAAATACGCCAGCAAGTCAATAAATAACTGATAAAAAAGGCAGTGAACAGATCAAGATACTAACAAATAATTAATAAATATGCAATAAAGATAAAATAAATGTGCAATCAACAAGTTAGTTGGTAAGTAGGACAAACCATTAAATAGTTCAAACTACCATAAATAAGTTAATGGGTTAGTAAACAAATAAATAAATAAAAATGCAATAAATAGACAAAATGAATGTTCAATAAAAGTTAGTTGGTGAGTAAGCAAAATCCTTAAATAGATCAAATGTACAATAAATAAGTTAGTGGGTTAGTACATAATAAATAAATATGCAATAAATAAGTTAGTTGGTAAGTAAGCAAAATCCTTAAATAGTTCATATGTACAATAAATAAGTTAGCCGGTAGTAAGCTAAATAAATAAATAAATAAATATGCAATAAATAGACAAAATGAATGTGCAATAAATAAGTAAGTTGGTAAGGAAGCAAAATCTTTAAAACATCAAATGTACAATAAATAAGTTAGTGGGTTAGTACATAATAAATATATAAATCCCAATAGGTGAAAGTGGCAATAAACCGTTCAGGGCTACAAACAAAGAATGAAATAAATAAATGGATAGATAGATAAATAGATAGATAGATAGATAGATAGATAGATA